TTATCATAGGTATGTATGTGTAGGAAAAAACATAGTATATATAGGAGTCAGTTCTCTCTGCAGTTATCAGGAATCCACTGCGGGTCTGAGAATGTAGCCCCTTTGGATAAGGGAGACTAACGTGTTCCATTTGGCCTCTTCCTCTCCCTCATCCATATGGTATCAGTTGTCAAGTCCTGCCACTTTTAACTCTTTGCAGCTCTGACATCCATGCCCTCCGCTCCCTCTGTGCAAGCTGTCATAGCCTTATGTATAAGTTGTTGCCATAGCCTGAGTATCCCCTTCCAAGTCTCCCCTTCAGTATCTACTGCACAATCGGGCGATAGTAATTAACTGTATTATTCTTCGCCCCCTGAGAACCTTTCATTGTTCCCTATCTCAATACATAAATAATTTCAAACTCATTGTGCCATTCAGTATTCCCTGTTGAGAATCCGTCCTCATGCTGTTATTTTATTTCCTGCTACTCCCTTATATAGTAACTTAGATTCCAGATTTGCTGTTCCAAATAATGTCCCAATGTTCTATTTCCAGGCCTTTGCTCACATGGAGCTCTTGGCTCAAATGCCCCTTCTCCCCACTCCCCAGCCCCCAGCAACTACCCAACATACCCAACATACTCTACTCAGATGCTACTCCAAAGCCTCCCCTAACCACATCAGCTAGAAGGAACCTCTTCCTGTCTCCCCTCAGCCCTCATATACCTTAATTGTGCCTTAGTAATGACATATCTTAGTAATGACATATGTCACTTTATTTCTTCAAGTGACTTGCACAAATGATTTTCTTATTTCTTATTATTTCTTTATTTCTTAAAGTTACTTGCACAGATGATTTTCTTTTTATATGAGAATGTAAGCTCCTTGGGGTAAGTATCTAATTCTGAATAATTTTTAAATACTGTACAATTCCTAATGTCACCTTGAATGTAGCATTTGTACATAAGTACCTAAGTATTGAATAAATTTTTTTGGATGACTGATAATGTCTTTATTATTACTCTATTTTATTAAATATTTTAAATTGACACAATAATTGTGTATATTTATGGGGTACAGAGTAATATTTCAATGCATGTATACACTGTGTGACGATCAAATCAGGCTGATTAGCATATGTATTATCACAAATATTTATCACTTCTTTGTGATGAGAATATTTGAACTTCTCTCTTCTAGCTATTTAAAAATATACAATAAATTTTTGTTATAGACACCTAGCACTACTATCAAATACTAGAACTTATTCCTTGTGTCTAGTTGTAATTCTGTTTCTGTTAACCAACCTCTCCCTATCCCCACTCCCTTTCTAGCTCTAGTAACCACAATTCTACCCTCTACTTCTATGAATTCATTTTTAGCTCCCACATATGAGAACATGTGGTATTTTTCTTTTTCTGCCTGATTTATTTCACTTAACATAATATCCTCCATCCATGTTGCTGCAAATGACATGATTTTATCCTTTTTCATGGCTGAATAGTATTCCATTGTGTATATATGCCACATTTTCTTTATCCATTCATCTGTTGATGGACACTTAGATTGATTCCATGTCTTGGCTATCACAAATAATACTGCAATAAGCATGGAGGTGCAGGTAAGATTTTGGATAAATTAATAATTAAATAACTCAGGATCAATCCTGCCTTCTTGATAGGATTAGCCTTTTTAGCTAACTGTTAACCAATAATATCTCTAAAGTACACTCTTAAGTACTGTGCTTACTTTTATCAAATATGTGATTGTGGTAGTATCACTGGATCGCATACGGTCACAATAATTTCATAGTTGCACAGGTGAATAAATTAATTTTCAAAAGAATTAAGAGGTAGCCTTTTACAGAATTGGAATTTGTGGATGTCAACCACAAAAATAGGCTAAGTCAGCTAAAAATCTAGGCAATTGTTTATTGAACAAAAAGTCTAGGTAATTGAACACTGAAAAGGTAAACAATGATATAAGTTATTCGTGATGGCTACATTACTAAATGTCGATGTGCCAGGTTACAACAGCTATCTATAGAGGTGCTCCTCTACATTACAATATACTCTACTTGTTTACATTAAAATTTCTGGAGGAATTTTGGGAACACATGGCATTTCACATATATTTTTTTGCTTGATAATTTGGAAAGGAATTAGCTGACTATGATAACTTTTGGTACACTAATAATCGAGCTATATATACAACTTACTGTACCATATCAAAACTAAATTATTGCCATATTATTTTTCAGTGATGCTTATAGATTTTTATGAAATTTGGTAAAAAGGATAATAACTTACTCTTGATGAATATCTTATAAAGAAAAACTATTCCTATCTTAAAATAGGATCGTGCCTATAACATTATAAAATTACCTTCCTACCTACACTGATATGAGAGAGGCATCACATTACCTCTGCGTAACAAAACATTGCTATTCCTTAGCAACCTTTCATAAGCCTAGTGTTGCCAAAACAGCTCAGACACTCTGCCTCTACCCACAGTTTCCATTACCTGTTTCCTAACCCCAAGATGAAACCAGCCCAGACTGGCAATCAGCAGGGGTGGGGAGACATTGCTGGGTTCAGCCCTCACTGTCCACCACACATAACGTGCTCTTCTCTGTGGGCTATTCATGGAGAGAGAGGGGTAGTTACAGCACCAGCACCTAGGGAGCTAAAAACGTGCTTCCTTCTAATGGGAGGTCCCACTCATTTCTTGCTGTCCTGGGGCTGCCCCCAGGCCACAGTCCTTCATGATGGAGAGGACAGTGAGGGAAGTTGTGACTAGTCTGAGTAACTTCCTACTCAAGGAAATGGCAGGGTAGATTGGCTAAGAGTGTGTAGGCTGACCTTGAATTGCCTGCGGGACTGGGTTCAAATCTTGACTCTGCCGTTTATTAGTTGTGAGAACTTGGATGAGTTAATTTCCCCTAAACTTCCATTTCCTCTTTTGTAAAATAAAAAGTATTATATATCTGTTATTATGACTATTAAGTGAAATAGAGCCTGTAAAATACTAACCAAAATGTTCAGCATAATAAATTTATTTTTTTATTATTTTTTTTTATTTTAATTTATCAATATACAATGTAGTTGATTTTTATGTCCCTTCACCAATTCTTCCTTTTCCCTCTCCCTCTCTCCACTCCCCTCCCCATCAACATCATATCTGTTCACTTGTCTTAACAAGTTCAAGGAATTATTGTGATTATTGTATCTTCTTCCCTGCCAGTCCCGTTTATTTGTTTGTATATTTATTTAGTTATTTTTATTAGCTCCCACATATAAGTGAGAACATGCAGTATTTCTCTTTCGGTCAGCACAATAAATTTAAAATGTAACTAATATTTGCTCAATAACAGCTTCTAGATATAATGGAGAATTGACTCATAGAGGTTATCAGAATTTTTGTTGCTGATGACCAGATTCCATCCAACAGAAATACGTGATTCTGAAGACCCATGCTTATTGCCTAGTTATTTTTTTCCAAAAGAACTGCATATGAAATTTAAAAAGTAATAATGATGAAGTCATTCATTCTTCTTACACACAAAGAGAAACACAACATAAAGTTGGATGAGCAATGTTGTTTTTCTCCAACAAATGCACCTGAACTTGGACATCAAAAAAGAGTGTTTATCTTCAAAAGAGTCACATCAGGAAGTCATGCATTTATTTCATAATGCTGCCAAATAGTTTTGGAACTCTTCATTCTAAATTACCTTCTGAGCCTGTTTCAAATTCTTTTAGATGTCTTTATTGGCAACAAAATTTATGCTTTGGGAGTTTTCAATTTTGAAAGCGGATTTAAAACTAATTCTTGTGAATAAGATGGAGGGTTAATGTCACCTCTGATGAAAAATGAGGAAATAAGGACTTTTTTGCATGGCTAGTTAAATGTCTCAAACAACTCCAGATGGGAATCTCTAAAACATTTCAGTCTCATGGAAGCATTGTCAGGATTAATATGATGCTTTCTATGTGATTAACAAATTATGTGTTTATTTATTTAATTTTATTAAATACTTCTAGAGCACTGTGTGTCAAACACTGCTCCAGGAACTTCTAAATATGAGGGTACTTCAAAAAGTTTGTGAAAAAATACGGTTAAAAAACAATATGAATCCTTCCATGAATTTTTTGAAGTACTCTCATATATTAGCTCATTTAATGCTCACATCTTATGATGATATCTTATCACATACTTTTAGTATCCCCATTTTACAGATGAGGTTACTGAGGCACAGAGAAGTTAAAGATTTTGTCCAAAGGCACGGAGCTAGCACATGGAGGAGCCAGAAATCAAATCCAGGCTGTATGCTTATATATATATACTATATTTTCTAAAAAGTACAACCTCTCTGTATTAATAGTTATGCTTTCTGGTTTTTTGAGGTAATATACTTTAAACTTACTAAAGTATATAATATCTTTCCATAAATTTTTTTAGCTTAGCTAAAAGTCCTGTTAGTGTTAAGAAGATTGGCTGAACTCTTTTTCTGTATCTTCCCATTGGAAGGAGACAGTCCCACATTCTAGCTTCCTAGTTTTCTAATGATCCATAGGCTGTCCTGTTTTTGCACATAAGCAGGCAGGCCTTTTACCCATCAGCTTCTTCAACACTGTGCCAGGAATAGTGTCTCTTCTCACAATGTTTCTTCATGCCTATTGCAAAAATCCCTCCTTAAATCCACTTGTTCTATTGCATCACCCAGTAGGTCAATCTTGCTAGAGTGATGGGGAAAAAAGAAAAGAGGAGTGGGGAAGGAAAGACATTAAAATAATCTTAAATTCTCTCTGAAAAAACACCTTTTCATATTGTTTCCATAAGCAAAATGCTCTGACTGTCTCAATTTGCTCTCCTTTGCTTTGAAATGTGAGTTTTCAAAGCAGCTTATAGCAATGCCAAGAGCCTATGGCTGGCCAGCCATTCAGATAATGACAACTGCCTCAAGGAAGCATAGTCAATCAAATTTTTAAAATAAATTATGCTGAAACCTTTTTATTTCAGGATAAAAGAAAAATACAGGAAGAAATCTCACAGAAGCGTCTGAAAATAGAGGAAGAAAAACTAAAGCACCAGCATTTGAAGGTAACTTATGACTTTAATTTCAACAATTTTGCATTCGAAATCCTAAAGGCACTCAAATTTCAGTAGTAAAGATGCTTTAGAAAAGAAAAAAATTCTAGCATAGTTTTACCAACACTCTAATAACCATAGGGCAGGCCAACAAGTTAGTAATATTTGCACGTGAGATTAGTACCTTAAGGCAAACATGGGAAGTTGAAAACATGGTTTTATTACTTTTATCATTTACTAGTGAGTTTCCTAATTTTGTTGGGTAACCTTGAGAATTCAGCCTTGGGAATTGGGCCCTGAGTACAGTGTTGCTTAACATCCCTAGGGAGTGGGTCCAGCTAGGAAGTTCCTTTTGAAATCAATGAAAGGCCAGCTATTCCCGGGGAGTGCAGAGCAGTGTCTGGCCTGGTCAGGGATGCTTGTATTTAAACGCTCAATGCAATGAACCCAATGTTGTCTGAGTATGGTTTGGGTTTTGTTTGTTTTGACAGACTATGAGATCATTACCAGAAATAAACCTCCATTTTTCAAATCAGACTTTACATCTTTCACTGGGCGTGGTCATGTTGTAATTAAAGCACACTGAGTTTCAACATTTTATTATGTAGCTTAGTCACAGGATGCAAGCAAATGACAAACAGGAGCTTCTTGTGAACAGGCCCAAGCAGGAAACTACTTATCTGGCAGGGCTGCTATCAATAGATTTAATGAATCCCCTCAATGAAACACTGCTGTTTCCATGGGGTCTACAAACTTACTTTGAACTTGCTACATGCAGCTAAATCCATTTTTCTTTTTTTTTTTTTCTTTTTTTTTTTTCCTTTTTGTCTTTTTTTTTTTTTACTGACCGGTAACGGGATCACAACCCTCGGTGTCGCGCCCGCACCGGGGACCGGCAACAGGATCGCAACCCTTGGTGTTGCGCCCGCACCGCGCTCAACCAGTGAGCGGGAACTGGTCTCCACATGGGATCCGAACCCTCAGCGGGAGCGCCACGGCGCTCCCAGGCGGTGCACTCTCCAGTGCGCCACCGGGCCGGCCCTAAATCCATTTTTCTAATGCAACAAGTAACCACCTCTGAAAAGAAACATAATTTTAAGATTCCAATTAGCCTTAGTTCTCTGGATTCTGTTTGCTTCTTCGCTCCTATGCAGGGTGACATTTCCAATGTCTAATGGATAGTTTCAAAGCCTGCTATCCTTACAATATGTCACCTTGAATTTACATGAGTAGTAGACATACTCAAGAAATACACTGTGTACTACCAGAAAATCAATGAACTATTACAAATTTTATCAGGTTATTTCAGTGCAATTCAAATGAAGTCATGAGTCAAATCTAGAACAATTTTTGAGATAGGCCATTTCTAAATCCAAAACAGAGCCTGTGCGGGTTCTCTCTCTCTCTCTCTCTTTCTCTCTCTCTCTCTCTCTCATAGACACACACACAATTTACACACAATTTGGATCTCATAGTGAACCTTGTCCTGCTTCTAAGCAAACTGATAGCTCTCCAGCATTTAGCAATTGGTATCCTTGAAGAATGGGTAGCCAAATAACAATAGAGCTCTCAATAGAAGAAAAGGTTTAAAAATCCCCTAAGTTCATTCTAGGAAGTAAGTTTCACATAGGAAAAGCCTGACTCACTGAATGTTCATTTCTGAGATGACACCTCATTTCAGTACTTGCCAAAAACAGTCCAGAAAATAATACATGATCTTCCCCTATTGATTTGCTTTCTGGAACCCAGGGGGCCACTTCTAATCCAATCTAATCGAAACATTTATCATGCTTGGGACTGCTGCACACAGCTGTGCAGATTGTGTACTGCACAAAGGTATCCAAAATGGGGGTGCTGAGATCCTGCCCAAACTCCCTTGCCAGACATGCACTCTAGCCCAGGGCTGCTTGTACCCGAAGGAAGGGGTTTTCATTTTCTCTGCACAAAGGTACTATCCACTTGCACAAGCTGTGCACCGGGCCAAAGAGTTGTGTGTGGGAAGGACGGAGGAAGGAGGAGGAAATAATTTTTTCCTAACTTGAGAATTTTAAGATTGAATTAGACAAGATAAATGATAGTTTTTATATTTAGAGTACAAGTATTAATTCTTTAATCTGAGGTGACCATAGAAGGCACTATTAAAGGTGTGGAATTTAAGCTGAGTCTTAACTGATGAGTAGAATTTATATGAGTGTACGTAGGGCCTTTCAGCCAATAAACATTTATTAAGCACCTATTATGTGCAAGGTACTAAGCTGGATACTAAGAATATAAAATAAATAAAACCTGGCCTGTGCCCTTAAAATGGTAACTGACACACAAACTTATAATGGCATTTATCCTGTGATGAACACACTATATGGGAGACATAAGCTGCAAAGGGGACATAGAGAAAAGAGCAAGTGTTTCAATAGAGAACATTCTTCCAAGTTTGCAGAAAATAGCTGGCTATACCAAAAAGCAACGAGGCATAATTCCAAAATGGGGTTCAAAAATGTGCAAAAGTATGTTAAAAATCAAGTCTACAGTATGTTCACCAAGTCAGGAAAGCTCTGTTGGCCTCTGTAGTCACAAACCTGTCTCTTTTCTTCTTCTTCATCTGTTTTTCGTGGTTCCCATGACTATTCTCACCACTTTCCCAATTGCAAACTATTTCATTACACTTCAACAGCACATATTAAACAATTACAAAGTGTGCCTCCAGCGTCAGTACACACACCTTTTAAAATAGTTGTAGTCACCAAGGTCCAGGGTTCGATCCCCGTACCAGCCAGCTGGAAAAACAAAACAAAACAAAAAAACAGATCCTCGCACTTGGCAGCCACCAAAAAACAAACAAAAAACAAAACAGTTGTAGTGACTCACTCATATTCTTTAGCGCCAGAACCTGATGATCTACCCATGACATGCTAGCAAGGGAATTTCTGGGAACATTATTAACATTCTAATATTCAGACGATTTTGAGATTTGTACACAATGGATCTTCCTGCCTAGTAATCTGAACACAATCTCATGCCACCAGGAAACACAAAATATGCTCAACCTAGAAAATGTTTTTTTTCTTTTAGTCCATTCAATTTACGGTATAAAAAAACTAATGTATCCCTAAAGTCTAGGAATAGAATTAAAATGCTGGATAGAATGTAGAAATACTTCAGGAGAACATTTCCCTAAAAAAACTGCCAAAAGATCTTCTATCACCTGCATGTCAGTTATATTATCATTTAGTTCATATGGCTTTTGATTCTGAATTTCAGTGTTGCGAAATAAATTTTATTATATCCTTGAACCTCATAAATTAAAGCACAAGTCTCAACTGTGACATAAAAGCAAAATAACTGTGTTTTGATTACTACAGTGCGTGATCGTACCAAACCATTTTGATTGCACATCGAAATTGTATATTTTATATTTAACTTCAAAGAGTTCTCCACCAGGGGTAAATGACCATTTGTGAAGTATGAACAAAGTTTTATAAGACTAAAGTTAAAATTATTCTTATTCCTAACCAGACTAAGCAGCAAGAATGTAGCCCCAAGTTAACCTAATCATGTCACAAGAATCATTCTCAGCCCTCTGTAACTCAGCCTCAAATGACCATCTCATCTGAGTGTTTCTTACAGAGAAATGTGTGCAATTGACTGGAACTATCCTTACAGGTGCTTTCTAAGTATTATAACTTACTTCAATAGGTTTCATCTGTCCTCACTACGCATTAGCTACCTTCAAATTCCATTAAATAAAAATAAATTAAAATAAAGGTAAATTCTTAAAATGCTGATGTATTCAGAGTTTCATTACCTTTCATTACCAGGTACCTTTGACCTCAGGAGCTAAATCTTGAGCCATATTAATAATGTTTATGGGGTCTGTGGCCAAACATTTTTGCAAACAGCAAAATAGCTATAATAAATTGTTTAGATAACATTGGGGGAAAGAATCTCTGGCCACAGGGTGCGATAATACCATTTTCTCTTATGGTGTGTGTTGTCCACATACAACTGCTTAAGACTCTGAAAAGCCAACGCAAATATGATGATCTGGGAGAGGATGTTATTCACTTAATCTAGTGGTTTTCAGTCCATGTTCTGTGCATCTATAAGCTTCCAGGCCCCCTCAGTGCTTCAACTGTGTAAGTCCTGATTTGATTTTATTTGTTCTCCAAGCTATTGTTCCATATAATATTTTTATTTGTAATCAGTGTAATATTGTTTTTTTAAAAAATGGTTTGAAAGCCATTGCCTTAAAATAACCATCCTTTGGTAATTACCTAGCACAACCAAGCTTAATTTTGAGATGTTTTAATTCAGAGATATTTATATCCCAGTGGTATTAATTCTAGCATCCTTTAAAAAAAAAAGACACAAAATTCTTCTTACCTGCTCTCATTTTAATTATAGGAGAAAGAAGCTCTAGAAAATAAAGTTTCCATCCTCTCTTCACCATTTTAGACATAGTATATCCCCAGTGAATAATCACCAATGAATAAGTGAATAAATAATTTATAGTGGTAGATTGGATACATAATGACAACCCTTTTCTCCAGGAAGAAGAGGAGAAACTCACACTCCATGAAAATAACCATATATCTGACAGTTTCTACATGAGATACTAAAGCCCCTCCAAAATTTACAGGTCTTTTTCACTTGTTTTAAGTCTTCTTAGCCTAGGTCCAAAAATTTAATTCTTTCCAGCAAATTCAAGAGTATTTTTTTTCCATATGATGAAATGAAAGTCTTTTTTATGTTACTAAAGTTGACACAAATTCAAGTCATCAATGTTCAGAGAGACTGGTGAATTTCCTTCATCATATTATTGATAGTAGAGAACAAAATTTAAGGGTATCTAGAACCAGAGAGATTACCCAAGGAAGGGTTGCTGTCTACCACATAGCCTAAGACTAACATGAAATGTCTACCACATTTAATGTTAGTTTAATAATAAATGTCTACTACACAGCCGAAGACTAACATTAAATTAGTTTAAGATACAACAGCAACCTTCTGTTTTGTCCACCACTCCAATTAATCCCACAAAGACTTTTTTGGAGCAGTTATATGCTGTCACTGGAGAGAGTATCAAAATGGCTTTAAAGAGCTCTTAACTTTTTTAAGGACATAAGATACAGATCCTTCACCCAAATAAGTAACAGTGAAGACATCACATTGTTAGGTCCCTATATGACTGCGATTAACATACAGTGCATGATTCTGAAGGAAGAGAGTTCTCTGAGGATGAAGATTTGACTCCAGGGGGTGTGGAGGTGAGGGATCTTCACAGATAAGGAGCTGCCTGAACTAGATCTTGAAGAATAAATAGGATTTAGATACATAAAAACTGGCTTTGGAAGGGGGTCAACAAAGTTGCAAAGGAGGAAAACAGCAGATTTATTGAGGTAAAGCAATGAGAGAAAATACTTCTTTAATATGCCCATTATAGGGGCCGGCCCGGTGGCACACTGCGCTAGTGCGCCGCTTGGGAAGCGCGGAGGCGCTCCTGCCGAGGGTTCGGATCCCACATACAGACCGGTTCCCGCTCACTGGCTGAGCGAGGCACGGGGGCAACACCGAGGGTTGCGATCCCGTTGCCGGTCCCGGTCCGGTACGGGGGCGACACTGAGGGTTGCGATCTGTTGCTGGACACGGAAAAAGAAAAAAAAAAAAAAAAAAAAAATATGCCCATTATTGAAATTCATAGGACTTAAAAGCAGTAAGAGATTTTGGATTGTTGACTGATACAAGATCATATCTTTGTTTCCTGTTATCAGAAAAAGGCCTTGAGGGAGAAATGGCTTCTAGACGGAATCAGCAGCGGAAAAGAACAGGAGGAGATGAAGAAGCAAAATCAGCAAGACCAGCACCAGATCCAGGTTCTGGAACAAAGTATTCTCAGGTCTGGTTCTCACTGAGATGATCCACTACTACTTTTATTTTGGCTTTCTCCTGTGTTGTACATAGAAGAGCCGTTCTCACTTTCAGGGGCACGGTCAGATCTTCCATTTCAATTTCTGAAAAAGACTAGTAAAACAACCGGAAAGCAACAATAGAAATTTTACTAGAAACATCACCTTAACGTAGCAATAGTAGGTCTATTATTTAAATGTATGTTGATGACTTACCCATACCTCTCTAAGCCTATTTTCTACAAAATCATAATAATAATTCCTATCTTTTAATGTTGTAGAGCAGATTTAAAAATATATGTGCTAAACTGCTAGCACCTACCTATGCACAAGGAAGGTTCACAAAAAACAGTCCTGCTTCACAGCCCAGCTCCCACTCTCACCTTAGGACAGGTGACTGTCCCTCCATCACACCTCTCCTAGGCCCTCCCCAGTCACAGCCATGATACTTTGGAAGAGAAGATGCCATAGGGATACTCCACTAACATTTTCCCTCTTCTTCCTCTTTGATTATTTGGTCATAGGTGTTTACCTCGTTTCTCGATGTCCTTTCCTCCTATCCATAATGCACAATCTGCACAGTCAGGAAACTTCTGATGTAATAAGTAAAGTTTGCAAAGTACCTTGGCTTAAAATGAGGTGATGGACATGAAAAAAGTGGAATGCTTAATTATAAGATGAGATTCTTAGTATCATCACCAAAAACAGAAGATAGCATGGAAGAAACAGATATGGGAAAGGTCAGAATCATTTTCTAACCTACACATGGAAAAAAGAAAATTTCTTGTGGTATAATCATGACAGTAATTTAAAGTCTACCCATCTTTGAAATACAAACAACATTCAAAACCTCTCTCACTTTAATTCACTATATTTAGTGAAGACTATAGGAAAGACCTAGAAGACAAAAGTGTTCGGTAGCTGTGCTATGACCACATTCTGTCCATACCCACCACACTATACAAACAAATCACATTAGGCCTACAGTTTGCAGCATGGAAAAAAGCTTTCATTTTCAAATGACTTCCATTTTACTTGTTTAATTTACATGCAGTTGCATATTTAATAGCTAAAAATCATTGTCTGCTCATCCTTATTTAGATGTTTTTTAAATTAAAAGGTTATAGTATTGAAATTTTTATTTTTATAAACCCATCAGGTGTTTGCTAAAAGATATGAAGTGCTTCCAAACAGTAGATTATAAACACTTTTAAAATAACCCAATAACTCAACTCTCCAGTTTGGAAAACTCAATTCTTTGTAAGGCATCCCTTAGCAAGAGCTTCTTACCAAGAGTTCAGCTTAACCTGATGATTACTTTTCATTCAACACAGAACACTTATCTCTGAAGGAGTCCTGAATTTCATCCCTGTAAACATTTTCACTGCACAGACACCTTCTTGCTTCCCCTCAGAACTTCCTTTTAGAGTTTTTCCACATACTGTACATCTACAACTTTCTCTGCACCTAAAGATAATTGAAGTGGTTACATCTACTCAAACTCCATTAACAAGTTTGGGCGGCATTCTGAGTAATCCCAGAGTATTTACTAGGACTCTACTGATTGCTTTTAGATCTTGCCTGAATGCTCTGAAAAGCACACAATCTTCTAATAGTGCTGATAATGGCTTGTCTAGTTAGAGCTCCTGTCTGACCAAAAATTAAAAAGGAGGAGGAGGAGGGGATATTTAATGAGCCATGTGTACACCAGGCACCTTACATACATTCTCTTATTTAATCTTTATAACCCTGTGAGGTAGGTAGTAGGTATTATAATCTTCACTTTTTGCAGAGATTAAAGAATTCATACAACTGGGAAGTGGCGGATCAGGCACTGACTCAGTTGACTACCCTACACTGCCTTTAAAATGATGGCACACAGAAACCACTGTGGCCTGGAAAGGCATTATCTCTTACAGGAAGTCTTTGAAGCATGTTCTGTTCCTTTGCTTTCCTTTCTCCAAAAAGCTCCTCCCACACTTGGTATCTTCTTCCATGTCCTTCAGTTCTCTTTGTTATATTACCAACTGCATGTCTGTTCATTAGCAAATTTCTAGCATCTCTGTACAACTTTATTTTAGATCTTTAGGATGTGATTAACCCATCAATACTCCTTTATGAACAGATCACCAAATGATTTTAGTTCCCAATATAAATAATAACACTGATGTTTCACAAGGACCTTGTGCAAATTACAAAGCACTTAAACTTACATTAAGTCATTTAATAACTCACAGCAATCCTAAAAAGAAAGCATGAACACCTCCATTTCATAGATGAAGAAATAGGCTCAGGGAAGATAAGGTACTTAATTAAGGTCACAGAGCCAGTAAAATGTAGGCATGTGTCCCAAAGCAAGCCAGGTTCAGTGGTCTCCAACTGGAAAATGAAAGAGCTGTAGATATAAATATTCTGGAAATAGCAAAATACCTAACACAGACAAGTACTATCTCTAATAATCAGCAAACTGCTTTGTTTAAGAAACGGCCCTAAAAAGATGTATTTGCAAAGAATTAGTAAAGAATTTGCATCCTTGTGGCCCATAAAGGCATGTTATTTGGTTAAAAACGTGCAAGAAACAGAATGTTCTGAAGCAACATACAAAGACAAAAATATCTGTGCCTTGTCTGTATTAAGCAGCCTCCGCACTGCCCAGCATTATAGAAATCACGTTGCCAAAGCAGCTTTACCTGCTAACTGAACATTTTCTTCTCAGATGTTTCTAAAGCTGCTAAATAATAAGGTGCATGTTTTTAAATTCAATCTTTCTCCTAAACTACTACCCACAGTGCTTAAGAAGCTTTTATTGCCAGTTAAATCAGTACAATATCGTGTTAGCTCTGAATAGTAATCGCGCTAACTGATGAAGTTGAACTAGGCAGAGCCATCCTCCTTACTAAGCAGGAATATCAACCCAAATTGGAATACGATTTATCACTTGACTTAGGTGCCTGCTCGGGGATGACATGTGCCATTTCTGGTGGGCTGCTCAGTTAGAGGATAAGGTTTTAATGGGAATATTGAAATAGAAATGTTGCTTTACCTCAGAGTCTGTAGCAGGGCCAGACTTTGCCCATGAAGTTTTCATTCGTTCTCCTTCCACGGTTTTGTGAGATGAACTGAAAGAGCACAGCCTTTGGCTTTCAAATCTCTGTTCTTCTGACCATGGTGCATAAGCTTGGCCACGCTCTTTCATTTCTTTGGGCCTCGGTTTCCTTGCCTGTAATAGTGGGACAATTAAGGCCACTTCACAGGACTGCTGGAAATAAACCATTTTCCAGAGCACCTGACACATGGTGAGTGTTCAAAACATATTACATACCATTTCTCATTAAAAGTCAAAAATAACTAAAAGAAGGACACTGCTTGGACCTTTATTCAGATGTTTTTATTTTGGGGCCAAGATCTCTCACTTCTTTATGTTATTACAAAGAATATTTTTCTTTGAGTAAACTGAGAATACCTCCCAACTAGGATTCTTTCTATTTGGAAATAATTGATGAATTTTCTCTATGCCTTAAAGACAAAAATGCTAAGAGGGGTTAATTTTTATAAGACATTTGCTATGGACCAGGCACTGTGCTAAACACTTTATATATATTATTTCATTGAATTCTCACAACCACCCTATGAGGTAGTTAACATTTAACAGGTGAGAAAAATTGACATTTATAGAGATTGATTTACCCCAAGTCATACAGCTAAAAAGTTGAGCCAGGATTTTAAACCTAATTAAAAGTACTAATCATAAAAATAAAATTGTGCCTTAGATCCCGCAGAAAAAATTCACAGAAGTTAAATCTTGTAAACTGTCCCCTTTTATAGCATTTTTGTTTCCAATCATGCTATCATTTCACTCTTATATGCATGTCTATATGTCTAATGTCTATACTTTACATAGATGTTCACCTAAATACTCAACATATTAAAAACACTGAGGGTCCCCTGACTCATACATACCCTTTAAGTAAAGCATGTCTGCTTATTCATCCTCTCATCTATTCTTGCAGAAAGAACCAACATTTCAGAAAATAAGTGGGTTTCCATGGTTTTTCCCTGAGTCACATTCTTAGCTTTGCAACAATATTATTGACTATTTTGCTTCGTGCTCTGATTAATGCCTTAGGAAGAAATGTTCCCAGGCGGAAAGCTATATTGTACATTTCCTTCTGAATACTTTGCTTAAGTACAGTTTCAATTTGCCTCCCAAACGAGCCGGCTCTTACTGCAACCACTGAACCATTAACTGCCTGATTGTAGGCACAGGTGCACTGACTTCTCGGTCGAGACATCCATGTGCAAAAATTTATAGGCTGATTTAAAAATCCTATTCTGGCACTTCTGTTGCTTTACTCTGTCCAATAGACCACACCCAGAACAACACCTCAAGCACCCCCAGGAAGTCTCCAAAGGAGATACACCCCCGGCAACTTGTCATTCACATGCTGGGTCCTTCTCTCCTATTGGTTTTCTGGAGAAGATTTCAGAATCATAAGCTCCGCAAAGCAAATTTATATCTGTGTTTACCTCTCTTTATATCCTTTAACTTTTCAAAGTGCTTTGACATTAATTCATTAATTTTCTCATTCAAAATAATATTCAATACTGTGAAACACAAATTTAAGACCATTAGCGGGGATGTCATGGATTTTTGGCTGTGTTGGCATGAGTAAAGACAGAACAAAGGAGTAACTAAACAATCCAGAAAGTGAAAGGTGAATTAGTTTCAGGAATTCATCCTCCAGGTCTTGATCATAAAGAATGTTCAAGGGCAAAGACTCTTTGTATCAGAGAAAGGATCTGTGCTGCCCTAGGGCCTCAGTTTCTCCATTTCCCGGGACAGTCCCCTGTGACTAACTTTACCAGCTCGGAATACATCCACGCCCTACCCTTGCAATGCATCTTTTGTCTGCGAGAGGGCAAATGTCCCCACCTCAGGTTAACTGCTCCTTGTTGGTTATTCTATATTCCATTAGGGTTGGAATTTTTA